CACGCCCCTTCGCTTGAACCAAAACATTATGCGTGTTGTTATGTGTGGTTGCCTTAACAACTGGCCGGGCAGGTCATGGGTGCGAATCCTGTCGGGGACTAAGATTTTTGCGTGACTCACCTTCATCACATGCTGGAAATGTGATGTATCCAGAATAGGCGGTATGTTACCCATTTATACTTCTGGGCGTTGTGATGCAGGCACCGTTGGAGTAATAGCATTACCCTAAAGCGCAACACATCGACAACGGCTAGGTCGCCATGTCTAGAATCCAGGCCTCTCGCGCTGAAGTCCGGCGAACTACAACCATTATGTGAAAGACGCAAATTTATCACATAGATAATGTCACGCTTTCCCTTCAATTCAACAGCCTCATTCAAAAGACTTCAGAATTTTATTGATAATAGAGAGCTTGTTAATTGTGATCCTGGAGTCTCGCGCCTGGTTAGAATTAGCCCGAGTAGCTGGTGGGATTTTGCGCGTAAGCTTTTTGTTTTGCGGCGGAGCCTCAACAGAAACACGAGTCTCAAACGTTCCATGAAACATCCCTTCAAAACATGCTTGCCACAAAAACGTCAAGTCGTGTGACCAAATAACTGACACACCAAAACGCTCCCCGGATAACTTTATGAAAATTTAAAAAGACTGATCGCTACTCCAAAAAAGTTCTCAACATCCCAAAACTTTTCTAAATATCTCGAAGAATCCTCTAAATATATCGTATTTTTGTCGTGAAAGTACACTGATTTTCTATCACTTAGACCAAAATTTTTAAAATTATATCGAAGTAGTAGGAGTTGAGAAAGAAAATTCAGGAACTTCGATGTTACCAGCATCCACACCATTTTGGAGAATTGTTGCTTTAGCGCTTTTAGTGATATGGAATATATTTTTCGAGTGGGAAATGGCTGAACTGGATTGTTTCTTGTGTAGAACTGAGTATTATTTCAAGAAAATAGCGAGGAAAACACAGCGCTAAGCCAAAAAAGCTATTAATACA